CATTGGTTGACCTATAGCAAGGACAGCGTGTCCCAGCATATTCTCTAAGAGACAATGGATGACGGAGTAGCCACAGGCGAGGAACAACAAGGCGAAGGCTTTCCAATTTTCACCGGACATCCTTGAGGTGAGTGGGATAGAATGTCAGGGAAGGGGCGAACGGGAGGGTACGCAGCAGCTGCAAGGGAGTTCTTCGCTTATGTCGGCTTTTATGCGTTTGGTGTGATTCCTGATTAATGGTAAACCCACAGAACGCCACAATCTCTGATTAGCATGGACCAGTTAATTGTTGTAATACGACGGCTCTGTTGCTAGTGTCATTGTGTTCGTTGTTCTTGTCCAAGTTAAGAAACAAAAGTCAGTCCTTCGCGGAGAAAATACAAGAAAGTGATTGTTGAGGACGTTGCTACTGCGACCGTTCCATGTTCTCCGATATACTGGTCATCACAATAAGAGCTAAAGATTATATATTAAAGGCGAAGGGGGGGATCATACATAACTCCGATGCCGGAGACGTTGAAGTCAAAGGAAGAATTGAAGGGTCAAATGATCTTGAATGAAAACCCAATATCTACTTAGTCGATTTCACGCCAAAATAGAGCATTATGAGTATTATTATAATCGCCGCCGCAGATTGAAACTACTACGTGATTCTCTACTTCAACTTCGGGTTCCGCAGATGCTATCGGTCCTACTAAACATCAACGTGCTTGAACACAACAAATGGCGCGCAACCCTCAGAGGACGTGACTCTCTACTTCAACTTCGGGTTCCGCAGATGCTATCGGTCCTACTAAACATCAACGTGCTTGAACACAACAAATGGCGCGCAACCCTCAGAGGGTGATGGGGAGGCAGTTGATGGCAATCAGGGAACCTAACGAAACCGGGAAAGTCAGTTTGAGGCCCAACACAGAACAAGAGAGTAAAAGATAAGGACACACCAAACTGCTCCTTAGGCGCCTCGCAAACGACGGTGGTGCCTCCGCTAAAAATTAGGTTCAATCAATTTTTGCCCGCAAAATCAATCAACGACGAAAGATACGCACCAGTTGTTCCCGAGGACGGTAATAGGCGAGCAGCCCAAACCGATCGGGACGTTCAACCCGTTAAGGTTGAGCCCGACGAGGGCAGAGACCGCGGAGACGGCGGCGTCAGTGGAGGACAGGACGCTGTGGCAGCATTGGTTGGAGTCCGGGGCGGTGACCGGGGGGACAGAGGGCGCGGAAGGCGGGGTAGAAGGAGGGTAGTAGCCGTTGGGGAGGGCGACGGCGAGGGTCTAAAGGGCGACGAGTTAGTGGATATTTACGCAGCCAGGGTCGAGGGGGAAGTAGCGCACGATGAAAGCGGTAATGACGGTGAGCTTGGAGAACATTATGAAGATTATGTGGGGTTGGGTGGTTGAGTGAGTTGGTGTAAGAGAGTGTGGTATCGAACGAAGGATTCGAATGAGGGATTGAAGCTCATGCAGCGGGTTTTTATATGTTTTCGCGGTTCTCATTTCCGTAATGCCAGCGTGGTTGCGGCGGAGCTGGTTTGTCATTCAGAGATTTACCGCCCGTTGATGGAAAAAGGGCGAGGCGGCAAGGTGTGAAGGGAAGCGCGGAAATTGAATTCATTGTGTCTGTCAAGGAGAAGCGGCAGGGTTGTGTGAATGTCGGTTATGGAGATGACAGAAATATACGTTCAGAAAGACGCTGATGTGAATACTGAGCTTGGCTGATAAACACTACTTGAGATTTACTCCTTGCAGCATACCAGGTTGAGTTCAGGACTCAGCGGTCTCGAAATATTCAAGCAAGCGATTCGAATTTCGCACGCTCAAGCCATCAAATCCTGGGAGACGGGAAGAATGCAATGAGTCAGTGACAGAGTTCTATATTGCATGCCGAAACAGGGTTCAAGCTCACCCTGATTGACATGATTTCCTCGCCGAACCAATGAATTGCCTGAGTTGCGGAGAAATAGCATACGTCGTCCGCAGAGTAATAAGCCTCCAGATAAAGAACTTTTCGTGCTATGCTTGCTTTTTCGCAACCAGAATCCAGGGTCCGAATCCGGAGGCATTAATTCTGGCGGTGAGAGGTTTCGCCTGGGAATGACGGAGATGATGCGCCTTAGAGAATTAGGCGACAAACACGTCCCCCGTCGGAGAGGCCAAGTGCGGCATGTCCTATGGCAGGGCAAGGTTCAAACACAGAAAAACGCGGAAAAAACGGCGTTCTTTGGCGTTTCCCAAGTTGCGATCTGATCCGTTGTGCCTAGACAGACGCTCTGGCCGCACTACAGGTAAGTTCAAGACATGTTCAAGTCCAGACGAAGGTCCACACCGAATGTTATACCCATTTTAGAGCGGATGTGGTAGATTTGTCGAAACGTATGGAGAAAAGCAAAAGCGTGGTGGGATAAATTTGCTGCATGTTGCCGGCTGAGTTTCACGAGACATGAACATGAGTGTACCGAGGGATAGAGATTCGACAGTACTAATGGTGAGCAGGCATTCCGAAGAATAGAGAAAGGTTGTCGGTGGAACGAGTTAAGCTGGTTTCCAACATAGAACTTGAAGTTCTGCAAGGCATTCAAAGGCAGCACTTTGATTCGTCAATGAGAGAATTACGAGTTTATTCATCGCCGCATTGTTGAAAACTCAAGTGGAACTTCAGCCTTGAAGCAGCGAAGCTTCAGGACACGCCAAAGCTTCAAGCGTCGCTCGAGTCTCGAGACTCGGACTCTCGGCGCGGAAACGCAGCCTCAGAGGGGCTGTGGCAAAGTGCCCGAAGATTTGACCCAAGTGTTGTATAATAGAGTATATATCAAAGAGAACGAAGACCCCCCGTCTCAGCAGCTCGGAGAACTGGTTGGCTGTGGTGGTGGTGGAAGAAGAAGAGCTGACAACGGCGTGAGAAGATAGATCGTCACATCAATGATGTGATGGATTATCGGGAAACGCCGAACCAGGCTTGTCTCCGTCCTTCGTGTTGCCTTCGTGTCGTTCCAAAACTGAGCAGTATTCACACCCTCGGTCTTCCCACTCATTGGGCTAACCTGATCTGAGCTCCCTTCCCATCCGTTCACAATGAACTCAACATTCTCTCAGACATTCTCCTCAAAATTTCCTTGCGTTTTCCTCAATCACCAGTGCCGCCGGACCGATCGCACTGGCTTGTGGACTCTGCGACCAGGATCAGAGGGCGGAGCTTGCCCCGTTTTCCCTCCGTCTCTCCGAAACAGATGTATATTGAAATCACTGTCCAATGCTAGATTTTCATTGTTCGAGGCTGTGCTTATCACCAACTTATCGCGAACATAGCGTCTCTAAACTCGTTGATCTCTTTGGACCAAGCCTCCTTTCAAGTTCCAGAGAAGTATCTCGCTCTGGCGGTGGTTTCTGGTGAGCCGTACAGTGATATCTTCGAACCTTTTTGAGCGCTAAAATTGGCTAAATACCTGAATAAGCACTGGCAGTGCGGTTCGGGGTGTACCGCCTGACTTGTACTCGAAACACTTACGCCGCCCGATTATTACCACATTACAATGGGTAAGTAAGCCATACAAATACCGCTGCTCAGATTCACTAACACCTCTTTTCCGCACCTTTTCGTTTCTACTTCTTTCTTCATCCATGCCCCTTCTCCTGCCGCGCCAGGATCCGGCTTCTACCTCTCAAGGCAAACCCAGCGGTCTCTCCTTCGGCGCGACCTTCGGAATCACCTTCGGCGCCGTCTTCCTCGTCGCGCTCATAGCGGTCGCAATCGTTTTCGGACGCCGACGAAGACGATTATTGAAAAAGGTCAAGGCGGAGCGAGACTCGGAGGAGAGTCAGTGGTTCGACAAGACGAAGGTCACAGTGAACAAGACTCGCTCGATTGACACCGAGAGAAAGCCGAAGAAGAATTCGCGCTCAGATCCCGGACAATCTGGACACTACCCCACCCCATCCCAATCCTCCACCGCACCCCTCCTCAGCACACCCGATCGCGAATCTAACAGCAGCCCACGTCCATCAACATCTACACCTCCACCCGTACCACCCAAACTCCTCATCCCCGAATCACCTCCCCTCCTCCTCCAATCTTCCTTCATGTACGACCCCGACCACCACTCGCCCAATGGCGGGATCGAGTCCGCGTGCATGGACTCTGCCGTATCTCCCTCATTCCCATCACCGTCTTTCCCCTCTACCTCCACATCCAAATCACCATCCTCGCGATCGCAACCCGCCGCGGCATCGATAGCCAAATTCACATCATCCCACCTCCCCGTTCTATCGCAGGCACAGAGACCCTCCGCGCCTCTCGCACTGACCGGCGTCCACGCCTCCATCGCGCGCCCCACCGTCGTCCCCGCCCGCCCCCGACGCTCCCTCCATCCTTTCTCCGGGACACAACTTCTCACCGGCGCCGCTCACCCCGACCCCGACCCCGCACGCATGCACACCGCTGCAATCATGGACTTACCATCACCCTTCATCTTCGGCGCATATCCAGCTGCTAGCAGCACTATCGACACAGGCCCCAACCCGAATTCCAGCGCGGTGAATAACCGCACGACCATGCCACCAATGTCGGCTGTCTCAGAGGAGATGGACGATGTAGTGGGATATTACCTCGACGAGTTCCCCTCACCGCCCGACACTGTTGATATAGTCTCGCCGCCGAGCAAGGGGTCGGATGGGACGGCTTCAATACGAAGTCTACCTAAACTTCCTACAACGGCTGTTGCCAGCACGACGCCACCTCTGCAGATACGGAGAAATCAATACGCGATATGACCATCCAGATATAATTTACTTGTTGTACATTCGGACATACTGATACTTATGTTAGGTGAATTAATTGTACTCTACATAGCGCACAACATCGTTTTGAATATTTTGGGGGGAAAATGGTAGGGGGCATGGAATCGATCACAAAAGATAGGCCAGAATTGGTTTGTTGACCTGCGATAAGTGAAGTGAGAGCGGGAACGGAGCTGAAAGGACCGGGGACAAGGAAAAAGACAGTTGCTACCGTGGTTCGAACACGGGACCCCACGATGACTGAATTGCAATCGTATGCTCATACCACTGAGCTATAGCAACCTTTGATGCACAGAGTGCCAGCATGCAGGTACATACGGAGGGAGCATTCGAGGTCCATTAAAATCGTTAGAACTTCTGTATTCAAATAAATATTCGTCTCGAAATAACTAAGAGCGTGAGCGTGTGTTAGGTACAAACTAGATATACAAAGTCCAACCACTGTGCGTCGTATACATCCTCACTTCCTTGACCCGGATTTGCTGGACACCGAACCTCCAGGTGTCGTCGGCGTGGATGACCGAGAACTAGACGGTGCGGGGGATGAGGAACCTCGAGAGACAGAGCCCGAACCGGAACTCGACGACGAGCCGGAGCTACTCCTCGACCGTCCGACTCCTGCACCGGATGGCGATGGGCTGCGGCTCTTGCTACTGCTGCTGCCACTACTACCGAGTGCAAAACGGTCGGATTTTTTCGCGGGGCGCAGGATCTATCGATGTGCACAGATATTGAGAACAGAAGCGCAGCATGAGAAAGGGGGTTAACGCACCAGAAAAGTGCAAAGTAAGTCCTCGTTGACATCCATGATACAGCCCGCATTGTCGAATTCGCCGCCGTAATTGGGTGCAGAGAAGATCGTTACTAGGTGCCGCTTCGCGAAGAATTCGTACCCGTCTTCTACGACCTAGAACGAAGGAGAATGATTAACCGAACGTACTAGTACTTGCAGTGAATTGGAATGAGAGTATGGGATGAAGCGCGGGAAGAGGAAGAAACCTAACGCGCACCTGATGCCCACGACATATGAGATCGAGGTTATGTTTCTGTGTAAACCGCGCGACGACGTCCGCGCCGAACGTAAACGATATACCACGGTCGTTCTCGCCCCAGCCACGTATATCCGGGTCAGGGTCTGACCACAATAGATCCGACAGTAGGCCTGCCCATACATCCACCTCGTAAGTTCCAACGATAGTCAAAGATATGAAGGCCACAACACACACGCACCTGTATCCGGAATATCCGTCGGCCGCATAATCCGCTTTATCTGGTCCATGGACTGCAAATCCGGACTCAGTCCGCCATGCATGGCGAATATCTTATCGTCCACAATCGCGGCGACAGGAAAGCAGTTGAAGCAGTCGATAAACGAACGCCAGATTTTTATGTTGTATCTCCGTTTGCCTGTCAACAGGAAAAGTCTTGCGTCAGCCAAAGCCCAAGAGGATTCGCGATAATATATGCGATGGATAGTGAGAGCGTCACTCACATTCATCATAAAACCCATAAATCCTGTTAATCGACGCCGTTTCGTGGTTTCCTCTCAACAGGAAAAAGTTCTCGGGGTATTTGATCTTGTAAGCGAGGAGTAATGAAATCGTCTCAATGGATTGTTTTCCGCGATCGACGTAGTCGCCGAGGAAAAGGTAGTTGGACTCGGGAGGGAAGCCGCCGTATTCGAAGAGTCGTAGGAGGTCGTAGTATTGGCCGTGTGTGTCGCCTGATACATATTTAGAAATTGGCATATATCTATAAGGAGGAGGAGGAGGCAGGGGAGAGAGCTGAGAGGTAGAACGCACCACATATTTTTATGGGAGCCTCGAGCTCAAGGAGAATGGGTTGGGAGAGCATGATTTCGCGCGCAGTTTTGCAGAGGTATTGAATCTCATATTCGAGGAGGTTCACGAGCTTTCCAGGCCGATTACCGCGAACTGAGGAAAGGTCAGCGAATTCGTTCAGGGATAATTGAAAAGATTTCAGCGAAACTGTAGTCTCTGAGCTCTCGTACCTTCGAGCAATCGCTCGATAACCGAATCCAGGTCGATGGAGACCTGAGGGTTTGTCATGACGGTTATCCGAGCCTATAAATCGAATATATGGTTCAACACGAGCTCAGCACACAGCAAATCGAACTCACGGCACCGAAGTTGAGCGGCGGGGGGAAGGGTCGAGGGTGGAGAAGGCAAGGATTGGATTAGTAAGCTCGTCGGATTATGACTCGATTTTCGCCATCAGTTCAGTTAAGATCTCGACAGTTGGCTAGCTTATTGCCATCACGACCAGACGGCGATGGTCGGAGAGCTCCCTCTTGAGCAGACTAGCAGAGTAGTAGAACCGAAAGATGGCACAAGTATTGCAGCTCAATTGCAGCTTGCAAGTTGCGAGAGTCGCAAGGAGAGTCGTGTTTTTTTAATCGATTTTTGAAACCGTAGATTTGGAGAAGCAACGGCCGGCATCCACTTTGGAGAAGCAAGGCATTTCGGCTTGACTTGACGAGCTTGAGCTGCTGAGTCCTGTCCAACTGGATAAAGCAGTGGTGGGCGTCAAGTGGGAGTTGAGCACAACGTGGTCGGCCCGGGTATCCCCGTCGAAAGGACTGCCGGTCACGGTCACGGTCAAGTCACGCTCTTTGCTTCGTCCTCAACCACCACCATCTCAGACAAATCAACGAGAATCCAGCCAAAATCCTGATACATCGCTTGAAAAATACTTCTCAGACGTAGAAACAAGCCGTTGACTCCCCATCGACTCCCCATCGTCCCTTGGTTTTTGTGGCTGTTCCATTTCGACTCCCAAAAGCCCTGAAAATTAAAGGAAAACTTGAGAAAAACTCAAAAAAATCGAGGAAAAAACGGTCGGCAAGTCGGTCGCAGTATCCAGTTCAACGTATTGCGGATTGGACTTCTCTGGTCTCTCCCCTTGAAACGACTCCTATTAGACTATGATTGACAGCCTTCATTCACTGTCTTGGCACCTCGCGCTGAATCGCTGATAATCATCCGCCTTTCCATCCTTGCTCTTACCCACTTCCACCTGCCCGTCTCTTGTTCTCAATGCCCCAAATATCCTCCCTGAAGCCAACCCAGCGCCCCGCCGCACCCCCAACCTCAACCCCGACCCCGACCATCGTCAACTTCCAATGCGACGCCTGCGCGCAAACAATCGGAAGCTCATCGTCCCGCGTCCACTGCCTTACCTGCCCGGACTTTGACCTCTGCGCAAGCTGTGCGCTTGGGGAGCGATTCGGACTTGGTTCTCACATGTCCTCGCACCCAACCGAAATCTATCGCATTAGCGGGGATAGCACAGTCTCTCCTGTGCGGTCCACGGCTGCGATCACCTACATCGATGTCTCGTCTACGTCTGGAAGAATGGGTCCCTCTGTCACGACTACAGGTGGTACCACTTCCAACTTCTCGGCCCCCAACGTCGTCCATACTGGGATTTCCACGCCCGGTATCTCCACCTTCGGTGGCACGGCGGCCGGCGGAACGACTAGTACGAATACGACAACTTCTCCGTCGTCGCCCGGCGGTTGGTCAGCATTTTTCTACGCCGACATGAATCCGACACCGATCTACACCGCCCTGATGAACGCCATCTTCGACCACCTTGATACGGCTCGCACGGGTTTCATCCCCCCAGAAAAGTATTCCCAGCTCTTGGACGATATGGGCTACGCGGTGCATGAGAACATCTGTACGTGCCTCCCCTCTCCTCTCATTTCTTCCAATCAATTCACCCCACTACACTACAGGGAAAACCAACCTCGGAAACGCCGGCCACGAAGCCCCCGCCGACACCGCCCTCAAGAACATCTTCGAGACGCTCAACATCCACCACATCGTCCGAACCCGTCCACCCACCAGCACCAATCCTCCCAACGCCAATCCCTTCATGTCCCCCTTCCTTCCCCAACCCCCAACAGACTCCATGCCCCTCCTCACCGCGCGCGGCCTCGCAGATCTCCTCGCCATCGAGCTGCTCGGCGACCCCGCTGCCACCTGGCCTAAACTCTCTCGAGTGATCCACATGTACAGGCTATATGGTACCGAGCCGTATAGGAGTTGGGGTGTAATGCCGCGGGAAGTGGTGCCTGCGGCGCCGGATGCACGGATTTTGGCGAGGGTCGCGGGTGCGCAGGCTATCGGTGCGACTGCGGCTGCGGCTGCTATTAATGCGCAGCTTCATGTGGCGGCGAGCATAGCTGCGATTGACGTCGTTGGCGGGACTCAGCCTCAGTATCAGTATCGCTATAGAGGGTATTAGCGAGGACGTTGGATGCATAGCGGTCCACCGAGAAAAATATTATGGCTTTATCTATGGACTGAAAGAATACAATACGATAAAATACACAGATCGAGAAAAGTTGAATCAGGTTCCGATCTAACCTCCACTGCATGACGAAGCTGGAGATTTCAGTTTTCATCGGAATCCTAACCCTTGATACGCCTGCTGGACAGAGCGCAACTGAGTATCTGTATCTCAACGAACCCTCATAAGCATCTATCCACCCGCTGAAAATTCCGCTACGAGAGACATAACGCACCCATCAAAGGACACCTCGGCGCCAGAACAGCCATCGCCGTCAACAAAGAATCCGTTGCACTCCGCAGACTACCCTCCTCCAGCGACAACGCCTGACGATACGCATCCGCTGGCCGATGTCTTCTCAGCCTCCTCAACTCAGTGATAAACACCTGGCAACTGAGCGCCAGAACGGGCTTCAAAATGTCAGCAAATAAATTTCATGAGGCGTTTCACAGAAAACGTACACCCATAATCGGATCCACTAACCCCAACGCCTGCAGCGGAACAGCCTGCAAACACCTCACCACCGCCCTCGCCGTGTCCAGGACCCTCAATCTCGGTGCATCCCCATCGCCGGCCAACGGACTATGCAGCTGAATCGTCGCAGCATGAGCCAGACAATGCACTAAAAGCAATTCGCGGCTGGTTGGATTGAATTCTACAGGTGGGATTTGCAGCTTGAATGATTCGATTCGCGTATCGATGGCGGTAAAGGCGGCGTAGAATTGCTGGAGGTCACGGTTCGGTAGATCTACGAAATGTAGGCAATGAGATACATACATACGGCGTACCTGTTAAGTAAGCTGCGAACGAACTCACCCAAACGATATGTCCATCCCAAACGGGAAGCTTTATCAAAGAGAATCGTTGCCTTCGCATGCAAAGCGGTAGCTGATGTCCCATTATCCGGGTGATTCGCAAGGAAAGCGCCAATCGTATCAGTGTTTGCGGTTGCAAGGATTTGATTC